AAGGGTGTCATGAAGTGCAAGGATATTTTTCTATAATTAATTTCATTAATATTCAATTAACAACTTCTACATGAATCAATCATTAGTTAAATATTTAAGGATTTTTATAAGAAATTTCCCTATCAAAAGCAATGCATCCTAATTGCAAGCAATAAATATATTAGACTTCCCTAATTATACCATATTTAAAAGTGTGAAAGATTGTTAAGTCATAAAAATTTAATAAGAAACTTAATGTCATTATAATGATAACAATGAATTCCGGAAATGATTTGAAATTCCAGAAATTTTATTGACGCTGCAGATACGAAAAACTAGTTCCAAATTCGTGCAAGAAGAAATTGTTCCTGGTAAGAAATTCAATTCTTTTCTCATGATTTTTATGACGTTGCAATTAAATAATTTTGGAGCATGTTACAAATTAATTTTGTTTTTATTTGCAGGTATATCTAATTGTCGAGGGAAATGTTGAGGATTTGTAATTACTGAAAAAAAATTAAAGGTCTTATGCATTCCATTTCGAACTAAATTGAAAATGAATAAAATGAGCATGAGTTAAATCATTCGTATCTAAAAATTTATTCAAATGAGCATGAATTAAATCATTGTCATTATTTTAATTGTCTTACAGATGATTCTTAGTGAAATGTAGAAAAGATTTTAAAAACGAATCAGCGTGTTGCAATGACACACTCCTTAAAATTTCAAACTTTAGATAAAAGCAATAAAATGTTTAATGAGAGAAAGAATAAAAGAGTTGTTTGTCTAAATCAGCTGTTTTCTGGCAATGATTTCTCTCATTATTCGCATCCTTTGAAATCTGTTATCTACGAAAGCTTACAAATACATAAATCAAGATGGAGGGAGAAGATCTTCAGCCATTGGTTCTTACAAGAGAGAAATGAGAGAGAAAAAGGATTAAAAAAATTATTGAGAATTATTTCTGAGAAAGAGAATTTCGCTTATAAAAGAAAGCATAAATCATAAATATTCATCATAACTTTTTCTTCTTGCTAGCCGTACAGAAGTCCTTAAGAGTTTTAACTAGTGAAGTTATTAGAAATATTTATCAAATTAGAAAAACATTGTTCCAATTTATAAAGAAAAATAATAAATTTTGTGCATTTTAAAAAAGTGAAAGCTTCCAAAAGTGTTGTTAAAAATTGAAAAATTATAACTTTATTATTAAATCAAAAACAGCAAAATGTATTCAGAAGAAGTTCTAAGTCGCGTTCAAGATCAATGGATGGAAGATATCAGAAAAAATCCAGCATTCTTAATGACCAACAATTCAAAACCAATGGCTGAACTCTCACCACCTCGATTGTCATGTGACGATGTTCACCGCTTTAATCATCTAAATGCAGAATATGAAAGATTTCTTTCTTCGATTGGAGCACCAAATTATGCACCTGAAATATCACCAATGAAAACAAAAGTCAGTACATCGAGAAAGTCATTTGGAAATCAACTGGAAGCAGAAAACTACCCACCAATTAGCCACTTGACACGTGATGAGT